GATGAAAGAAGAGAGTCTACTCTTTCTTTTGGTGTGTTCGGTGTTTACATAGTCATAGCACAAACTATTCTGTGGCTCTAGAAAAATCAGTCAGAATGCTGAAAAAAACTCTGGCAGTATGGGACTCTGTTCTGAAAATGGCTGCCAGTCAATGAGTTAAGAAAAGGGAAAGACAAAATAAAGGATGTTAGAAGTAGTGATGGAGAAGGCAGGTGGGTCCCACCTCCAGGTAGAAACAGGCTGCGTAGGACTCATTCACCACCGTGTCTCCATGTTTGAACGTTGGAAGCTAGAAAACAGACAGAAAACAAAGAGGACGCAGAGGGAGAGGGACAGGAGTTATTCAGCCATATGGACACTTCTGGGACAGAAAAAAATAAGACAACTGGGTCAAACCTGTATGGATTCTGTAATCCCACAGGAATGTAAGGACTCAGAACCCCCCCCTCCAAAGGCTTTGACCACATCTATGGGTTTAGGTTGGTTTGAACTTGAATATAAGTAAGAAAATAGTTGGACAGTGCTTTCCTGCTATTTGCTCCATTGAGTTATTCTAAACATAAATTAGGTGTATTTCGTTTATCAATTTCCAATTTAACTTGAACCCCCCCCCTTTTGTATGCAATCCATTCCAGTCTCAGTCACATGATCATTCAACTCTGAGCTGATGTTGTTCAGTGTGTGTGCTGTTCAAGTCCCATTTTCTCATCCCTCCGTCTCATTTTTGGAATATTTTAAATTCCTTCAGGCCCAAAGATGCTTTATCAAAAGTCAGTGGAGGAAAATGAGCAAAAGAAAACAGCAGTAGTTAGGCATTATTCTTTTTTTTTGGTAATTCAACTACAACTTAAACTCATTTTGAACATTTGATTAAAAATCTTTTCAAAATAATAACCATTAAATACGTTTTTTTTTAAAGTAACTTATCACTCCAATGAGCCATAACCAGACACACCTTCTTCTTCTTCTCTTTTTTTTATGGCGGTTAGCAAACAACTTTTAGGTGCATTACCACCACCTTCCAGATTGGAGTATGGATTCGACAATCTATTAAATTCTTCCTAACACACCCGTTTTTCTTAAAAAACTGAAAACACTCCCAAAAACCACATCCCCAGATGACCTCTGAAACAAATCCCCAATATCAAATTTTATTTTATTTTATTAACCAGACACACCACTTCCTGCCTGAGGTTTAATGTGATTTATCTGTGTGACGTATTATTTACGCGC